AAAAGAAATCATTAGCCCACAGAAATATCCTATAGTCAACGAGTCAGGCTATACAATGTAGACTCACATGTGCCCAAGCTTCAAGATACTCCGGGTTGTTGTCCCACGGCACCTGAGCGCAGACAGGATTGTCGACCATCTGGTCAAAGTTGGGAGTGCCGGCCGCCACCGTGTAGTAGAACTCTCTCCAGTACATCTGTCCCATAAGAGACACGGGTGGCTTGGAGTGAGGTCGGCCGGTGATCACCTGAACAAACATGGTTTATTGGATTGATCAAACATACCAAGATGTGCATATTAGGGCGAAGTGGGAAGATTTTTGAATGAAAGAGTTGCTTTTGGATCTCTTGAATTGAATAAAATAACTGAATGTTAATTCATTGGGCTACTAAAATGTATCCAGTTCCAGTGTTTGAATAAACATCAATATATAAAAGGGCAGCCAGCAATATGGAATAAAGTGGTGACTAAAATCTTGAAATGGGACATGTAGGTCTACAGTCCTAAAAATAGCCACACACCCTTTCATTCATTTATTTTTAAGACTTATTGAATTTTAAATAGCTTGTCTTTTTCCAGGTAAAAATTAAAAAAAAAAAATCATCACAACTCACAACATAGTTAAACTATAAAATTTGTATGTAAAATAACAACGAGATAGTACCTAACAAACTGTTTTACCCCGGAAAACATATATTTAATTACTTGAGTTTACCAACTTATTTTAACAAACTAATAGCGTAGATCGGAACAGATTATAAACTGTCTAGTCATACCTGGATCTCAGCTCAAACTGTAGCATCGTCTCGCTCTAGTAGGGGAGGGGGCTTATCTCCAAACCCAAGTTCCAAAGTTCACTAATTGTCCTTTCTACATTACATTGTCCAAATAATAACTTAGGCTAAATCTCTTCTTATTTACAACACAAACAAGTCGAATAAATTCAAGCCAATATAATATTAATTACACAATTTATTTTATTTTGGTTTGATGGGGCAAAGAAACATTTTAAGACAAATAAATATAGAAAAGAAATGCTTTGTCCTTATAATTATTAGACAGTAATGTAATAACTTATGACAAACCTCTTTGAGTTTGTAGTAAAACAGGCGAGAAGAGAGACATCCAAAGCGGAAGTAAGGACTCAGAACTGTAGTGCTTGGCTTCAGGCTGTTTGGCGATGTATTAGGCTTCTCAAACTTACAAATGTACTCCTTGAAATCAAACATGACATTTATATTAAACATTGTTTTTTTTATAAATGTGAAATACAATCCAATCATAGCCTCTACCATAGTTGTTGTAAAATTATAAAACAATGAAATAAATTACAAACACCATGGAATAACCATGTACCAATGAAGGCATAAATATCCATAAGAGAAATGTTACAAGTTAATAGAATACAATTGTTTTAGTGCCAAAATATCATGCAATAAAATAATAAAAATTTGACTATGCTCAAGCTGTCTTTGAATTTGGTGTAGACTAATTTCTGAGTATTTAGTTTATATTTTTTTTATTTAATGTTTTTATTATTAATTGTTAACAATAATTGTATGCAATAGCCTACTTTATATACAATTCCACATAGGTGCAAAAAGAATTGTCAACATTTTCAAAAATAAATATTGTTAAAAACTTGAATAAAAATTGCAAAATGTTACTAAAAAATCACTCACAAACTATATTAGTTTCCAATTGCACAACATCAAACAAACAACACAACCCTTGTTTGGATTTTAAAGCCTCGGTAAGCTACACTTATCAATAAAATCAACACTAACCAACAAATATTAAAAGCCTACTCTACCGTTTTTTTTAGATGTTCTTCCATTCTACGGAGAGCCTCCGTTTCACCACCAGGGTACAAGCAAGGGCCCATCGTACTGTGGTCAACGCCCAGCTTCTCCAGAGTGGGAAGGAGGTACTTCCCCTCGTCCAGCGGGGCCCGAGCAGCAGCAGGTACTGAGACGGGGGCCTCCACAGGCCTTGGTGGGGCCGGCATACCCTCCGCGACTGATATCCACTTCTGCATTGTTAGTGGGGTTTTACCCAAGTTCTTTGCGATTACACTGGAAACACATTATTTTAGTGTTACGTTATGTTACATTTGATGAGTATTCTAATGTTGTTAAACCTTGCTTATATTATTAAAATTATATACAGTAGAATAAGTCTCTAATGAGGATCATGACACAAAAGACTTGTTGTATCGAGGTTGTATAATGTTTGCAATAATATGTTATCAAAGGGATTATAAAAACAAGGGTATTTGAAAATGGTAATCAAAAACCACTTGTTATCGAGGGTTTTGTTATTGAGTTTCCACTGAATACATAATAAAAATCATTTTAAAACTGAGAGAACCATTTTGTAACTGGTATTAGAATAATTAATTACTCTTTACACAAACATCTAACTGAAAAGATTAGTCCTGAGCATATGGCTTCAAAACAACACAAATAAATTATTGATAGAATGCCTAGCTTAAGTATATAGATTCAATATTTTTATTTCTCGTTGACATTTAATACTGGTTCCAAAACCATTTTCATATACACAAAAAAATAGTTAAGCTGTTAAGAAGAGTCATATTTGAAATGTAATTGCAAAAAGTTACATTTTATAGACTAACAAAACCGGTTCCTAACAATATTGTGTTCTTATTCTCCTTATTAAAGTCCGCTCACAAAATTTAGGCAGCTTAAAGAGAAATGTTCCCGGGTTCCGCTACCACTTTTTTTAGTTAATGTATTTAAATATCAGCTGTCGACTGTTGTTTCCAAGTTACCAAGAGTGTGGTAGAGGGGATACAATAGCTTCCCCTCAAACCACCTAAATGTTGTGAACAGAGCATAGTAAAACACAAGTCTCAGGCTAGTTAAATTCTTGTCCCAACTTACGCCTCAGGATTATAGATGGTATGAGAAGTAGATGTGATCACTTCAACGCCATGTTTCTTTGCTAATTTGGTAACAGCTTCATCTCGTTTTTGCGGATAAGGTTCAATGTCCACTTCAAATGTCAATCTTTTAACATTCCACTTTTTGAATAACTCAGTAAACACTTCTTCTGGAACACCTTCCAAAACATAGAGCCTGTAAAGTTGAGAATATTTTATACATTATTTTGGATCAATAAACATAATATATACCCACCGTACTGTAGAGGGACTAGTAAATTTAAGAAGTGAACTTATAAGGAATCGCCAACTGATCATATCGTGCAATTTTCAGTACAATAATGACAGTGCCAGTAGATTGTTTGAAGTTAGGGCCTATGTGTATTATAATGTACAAATGAAATTAAACAGATGAATAATCTGTAAAAAGTATGATGTAACACACGTGAAAGCAATAATGAGAATAAGGTGGGCAGGACACACAATACGGGGGGGACGGGGGGTTACTATTAAAAGAAGCAAACATAGGAAAGCCAGAAGGGAAACGACCATTAGGAAGGCTCAAGAAGAGATGGTGGGATAGTGTCACCAAGGACATCAGAGAAGTGAAGAGGCAGAATATAGAAAGAGAGCGGTTGTTGGTGCGGCTAAATCCTGCCATGGGTATAAATTGCCATGAGAGTGAGTGAGTGAGTATGCTGAAAATAAAGTGGGCTGGTTTCAAAATCACATGAATTTTTTGTTATTTTGATCATATATATCTTGAGACCCCTAGAAAAACTAATTCAAAACCAAGTATTAATTTAGACAACAATAGAATTTATTTTATGTTTTTATTTTATTGGACGTTGTCACAACAACTGGATGCTGTGGCAACATAATTCCGAATATTTTATTTTTATTTTTATGTGCTATGTAATTATGGTAGAATAAAATTATTATTTCATTAGGCCTATCATTATTTTTAGTTATTTAATATTGATTTTGTTGAGCAGTTCATGACATAATTTTATGACAGTTATTTTTTAGCTTGTTTCCAATTAGGGCTAGCTTAGTTAAGCCCGGGCTATTAGTACAAGCCCTGGCGAAGCGGGCTGTTTCGCTAACCCGACCTTAACGGGCATCGGCATAAGCCCGGGCAAATTTCAGCAACCCGGACAGACCGGGTATAGGCATAAGCCCGGGCTATTAGTCCAAGCCCTGACGAAGCGGGCAGTTTCGCTAACCCGACCTTAACGGGCATCGGCATAAGCCCGGGCTGTTAGATTAAGCCCGACAGAGACGGGCTAATTTAGTTACCCGGTCGTACCGGGCCTCAAAATAAGCCCGGGCGAATCTCAACAACCCGGACAGGAATACTGAACAGAGTTCATTGACACTTCAGTGGTAAGTAGTATGGATCACGAGCAAATTATTGCTGCTTTGATAATTTACCGGTGGAGAAAAATAAAGAAACGTAATCGTCTCCACTGGGTGCATCCAATAAATTTGAGACGTGAGGAAGTGGGGATGTTTAAAACATTATTTCAAAACCTGAGAAATTACGAAGCAAAGTTCCCACACAAGAATTTAGTCCAGAAAACGGCTGTTTGCCACCAGCTCAAGCAATAATGGCGCTTCATTACGTACTACTACTACTGTACTGTAATAATTAATAAAATACCGTCCACTTTGCAACTTGCAGCTTTGAAACTGTCAACTTGCACTTGCGTCACTTGCTTGCGTTCAGTAGTGTATCCAATTCCATATCCGTTCTGAAACCGAAACTATTAACCAACCAGAACCACGAAAATGGACATGGAACTGAAAAGTGTGAACGTCATGAAATCGTGACGTCGAGCTTACGTCATGAAACGTCCTTTGAGCCTTGCGGGAACTCGACCCCAGCTGACAGTGACAGAGACAGAGACAGAATCGAATCGAGACTCGAGAGTCGCAGTCGAGTCAGTCAGTCAGTGAGTTGAGTTGAGTTTGAGTAGTAGACAAACTTTTGAGTGTGAGGGGACTTGGGACTTGTGTTGTGACTGTGAGTTGTACTTGTGTTTTGTTGTGAATTAAATTAATTGTGAGTACCGTACCGAAACCGAACCGACTACAACAACAAGAGGGAAGAAACGAAACAAGACAAGACAAGAAAGAGTATTCTCAGTGGTTACGGAAATCACAATTTGGATAGACATTTTAGTTTATAACTACTGTAAGACTTAGGTGGTGATAATGTACTGTTAAGACAGAGCCTGAATTTCCCAATGTTATGATGGTGGTATGTAACCTTACAATATGATTAAACTACAAATTTATCGTTAAGATTAAAATGTGATAGGGCCGGTGTATGAATAATTTCAAACGGGAATGCTTGATGGGTCATCATCAGGTTGGGCATGCCCACAAGTTAATTTAAGTTAGTGGCCTAGCCTATTTATTACCTATTCATGTGAAATATGAGTGACTTCCTGTCTGAATTTGTTTTAGGGCTAGTGCTTAAGTTAATAAGCCAGGGGACCAGTGTTTTTCATGACTAAACAAACATGTTGCTTACCTGTAATCCTGTTTCATCCAGTATTTATAGCTTGAAAATCCAATTTTAAGTTATCTTGCAAGAACTTTGTAAATAGCGACATAAGCTTAGACCTATTGAAAAAAATCCGTTTTAAAGTCCTGTTCACCTACATACTAACTTAACTTACTAGGTAGGCTACTAATTGAGTTTATTAAGTTAGGTACCTACTAATTGAGACAGAAAGAGTGTGTAAAATTGGTAAGGCCGTTAAAGGGGACTCTACAAGCATTTTGTAGTCTTAAAAGTGTAAATCATAACATAAGAATATAATCCCGGGATCAATATCTTCTTCCGTCACGACATGGGCTTCTCAGACCACGTTGATGGGATCTGTAAACAGGGCAACAAAATGTTGGGCTTCATCTCAAGATCTACCCGTGGGATTAACAACCCTGATGCTCTAAGAACGCTGTACTGCGCTATGGTGAGACAGATTGTGGAGTACGCCAGCCCCGTGTGGTCACCCTATGCTATTGGTGAAAAAGACAGGCTGGAAGCATTGCAGAGACGTTTCATCCGCTTAGTGGGAGTTCGCAATGGCTTTAACTACGCGGACGTCCCTGTCGTTTCTCTCTCTTCTGAACTGCAGCTTGTATCTCTTGCGGTGCGCCGAGACTTGGCCGACTTCATGCTCCTACTGAAAATAATCAGAGGTCTTCTATTTTGTCCGGATCTCCTGTCAAAAATTGGCTTCAAAGTACCGTCTGGCACTAGGACTAGGGAACTCTTCGTCCGAAGACACTACAACACGTCTTTCGACTTCCACAGCCCACTAGCTCGTCTTGCCAGGCTTGGAAACCGTGTTGCTCCGGACTGTGACCTGTTCTGTGACACAATTTCTCATCTCAGAAGATGTGCTTCGGAAATCTTCACTCCTTGAACCTCTACGAGCGTAAACTAGGCCTACTTCCAGACACAGATTTTCACCAGCATTTGTTCATCTTGTGATGTAGGCCCCATGTAAAATTTGTAAAACTGATTATTATGTTTGTTCCTGCATTTTTGTCAATGTAAAATTATTTATTGTAAAACAATTATTGTAACGAATTTGTCAATTTGTATGTATTGTAAAATAACTTAAACTCTTCTTGATCTCACTCATGCACTACTTGTTGCCATCCAACTTTCTATTTAAAAATTGTAAATATTTGTATTGTTAATATTTTTGTTACTATTGATATTGTTACCACTATTGTTATTGTTCACTATTTTGTTGTGAGTTGTTATGTATGTTGTGAATGTTTTTCATTGTAAAGTGGCTATGCCGTTGGGAAATAAAATAAAATAAAATAAAATAATTCAAGGATTAAACTTCTAGCTTGGTCAGATCCAACAGATATAGGCCTACCGGGTGTCCACAAAGTCTTGGTCTGATTTAATAGCTTTGCTGTACAAAAACCATTAGGGCCACACTTAACTTGTAGGCCTATGCCTTGTTTTGAAGGGAATTTAATCAAGTTTTATTTAATAAAATTGGTAATACCGTAACACAGCTGATTGACAACAATACAATCATAATACAATATAATAACAAATCAGAAATGGTGAGTTTACAAAAATGGTGAGAAATCACAGTTTGTGTTCTTGTTTCACAAAACCCAATCCCCTATAGCAGTTTAACGACTATCCATTTAAGTGAGAAGGTTAACAGACATAATAATTGTAGAATTTGGGGGAGCTAAAATCCCAGGACCGTGATTGAAAATAAAGGGCCAGAGTCCAAAACTAATCTTTGGTGTGGGGTAATGCATGATGAAATCATCGGATAATTTTTCTTTACCAAAGAAAATGTAAATGGGTTTGTTTACTTGGCTATGTTGGAGTTGTATGTAGTCCCCTAATTATAAGAACTGCAACTTATGATAATTTTCCAGCAAGAAGGCGCTCCACCTCATTGGGCTAAATCCGTGAGGGATTTTTAAAATCTTCATTTCCCGACCAAATGGCCACCTCTTTCCCATCATGTAACCCCCAATGGGTTTCTTTTTGTGGGTATTTGTCAACAACATTGTCTATTCTTCCCTGATTCATAATTTACACACACTTGCGGGATGGATTCAGGAATTCTGTGGTGTTTGTAACTCAGGATATGCTGACTAAAACCTGGGACAAACTGAAAAGATGTCTAGAAGATCTGCAGGCCACTGGAGGCGCACAAGTAGAGTTGTGATTAGTTTGTACATAGTTATAAAATCTTAATAAGTTACCTGTTATATCCGTAAATAAATCTTTATCCTACTATTACTCGTTTTCATACTATGCGGTTTCCTTATCAGACCAAGACTTTGTGGACACCCTATATCTCCAACAAATTAGATTAAATCTTATTGCTTGTACGATTGATTTTTCTAAAACTTATTGTGTTTGTTTTATGTTACCACAGCCTGAAACATACCTACCTCGTTGTTCTGAAAAGTATTTTGGCATTTTTCCACCAAATTTGTTTCTGTGTGTTGACAATCTTCACTGCATGCATTTTATACTCTGCCTGAAGCATATAAAAGGTGCCGAACTAAAAGATCTTATTGAACTTCTGCAAGTAAGTAATACACCTTTATTGATATATTAAGTTAGGCCTATAGGACATTGTTATTTAGAGTACAAAACTCCATACGGAAAAATGCTGCCTAAAAACTGACCTAAGTTAAGCTGGTCTGGAAACAATAACAAAGTTATAATCACATATGTTCTCTATTATTACTGGGTACGGTACATATTGATAAATTAGACATATTTTAATATTTAGGCCTACAAAATTAAAATGTAAATTTTTGATCTAGTTTAACCCCTCATTCCGACCATGACGGGACCAGGCCATGGTCAGATAGTCCAAGAGGTCGGATATCGGGACGAGCGGAGCCATAGCTCTAATACAAGGCCGTGACGTTCGAACTGGCAACGCCGCACTCACCCGCCTCCTGGGTCCGGCACTTGTGCTAGGCTATAAACATCAATGGGAGTATTGCTGCTCTGTATCAATGAATCAAAGTATTTAAATTCGATATTTTAATGGATTTTAGGGTATGGTAAAATAGACAAATTAGAATCTAGGTTTTTTTTATTTAGTGAAAAATTGCAACATACCACAATATGTCTAAAACTAAAAATACTAACATAATGTTTTTGGTTGCATTTATCGTATTGTAAGTACGATAAATGTGGAAATAGATGGACTTTACATGTTTCCTTTGTTAATTTGACGAGGTGTTAGCCCGTCCTACGTACGGGAATTCAGTAGTCAGTTAAAACCGTGTACAATTCAGATCAGCTAGTTTACACATATAAAGACAAAGTTTCTTGCAGTTTTAATGTAAAAAATCATCTTGTAAAGAAATGTTGTATGACCAAATATGTTTTTATTCCATCATAATATATACCTGATATATATACCTGATACGGCCTATACGATATGCATTTTAAATTCGATAATTTTACAATAAAACAGCAATTCTGGAATTTTTTTTGATGCGAAAAGCGCTGAAGTGAGGCAGCCGATTCGCACAGACGCACACTGATTATAAGTAGCCTACAGTAGAGAGAGTAATAGTCAATTGAGAAGTGTATAGACATAGTCAACGATACTACCTTCCATAGCATACCTGCCTCTTATTATCACCACAATACAACTACTATACACAATTTCCAGTAGGTCTGAATAGAAACGACCTAAAATAAAACGATAATATCCAATAAAATTCACAGTACACATAATTTAACTTTGGTGTCCTAACATCAAAACTAATCGTCACACCTATCCTCAATTTCACTGCATTAATTGCTAAATAAATAAGTGTAAACAAAGAAAAGTAAAAACAATAACAGTTTGTTTTAAAACAGCTGTTTGGTTCAAATAAAATTCATTTGAAAAAAAGAACTGGTCACATGTAGCAGGAATATAAAAAGTAAACACGCTAGTAAAGCTAATGACGTAATTGTCAATGTTTATTATACCGTTATCAGTTCTATCCTTGATAATTACCCACCCTCATTGAATAAATGTACATCGTAATTTCCCATATTAGTTAATTTAAACTACAATATATTCATAGTTAAAATAAAAGTGATATTTTCACGTTTAATGGCGCTGATATAGGCGCCCCCAAACGTAACCGCAACTGAACACGATTTCAAAGGATGGTTTGTCTAATTGCAGAATCCTAGGTCAATGATGACGTTGTGTCGAATCTATGTCATCCGTCTGTTTATCTTTATATAAAACCCGGATGAGGTTGTGGTGTAAATTTAAAATCGTGATTCCTGATTATTCTTGATCTTCTTTTTGTGACATAAATATTTCCGGGCCTAATCCAAACAAAGTTAACAGACAAACATAATTGTAAACAAAAAGCTACCATGAAGAATTAAAACATGTAAACATTGTTATTTTTTTAATCTTTCCTTGAAAAGTGGAGCAGTAAAATAATTTGCATTTATCCTTTTTTATTAAGACTCGTGTAAGCGTGTAAGCCTCGATTTATACTGTGGTCTAATCATCTCTACTAATCCTACTTATTTCCTATAATCAATGACAAAATAAGAGTAAATAAAATAACCTCATAGTTCCATAGTTTATATTTAACCAGCTGTTAGTTAAAACAAATTATATTGCTCTAAAACCAAACAAATCGAAGATTACAAAGATTGCTTTAAAAAATAATTTGAACATCCTAGTATTTTACTATGTATTAATTAATCTGTCATCCTCTTACAGAAGAATTGAACGTATCAATGATTAGCATTACACATAGTATAAATATGTCAACCCTAAGTATGTCTTTAAATTTTTATCCAAATGCTGAATTTGTGACACAAAAGCTGAATGTTTACAGCTGTTATGTTAAACAAATTATTTTATGCCAAAAGCTAGTTTAAAATCTTAGCGTCGGCTGCTAGACTTTTCAAAAATTAAAACTCAATTTCTAAAAAACTGGGACCCTAAACTAAAATTATGGCTTCGACATTCCCTAGTTCTCAAAATTATCTTTCTTGCAACACAAAAATCATGAAAATCCGTGGAGTGGTTGATTCAGAATCGTGAAATAAAAAAACACACTTTCGTTTTAATATTATAGATAATCTATACTATTATATAACAATCTCATGGTGTCTGTATATATGTGTGTTATTCAATATAGGCCTAGTAAAAACTACTAGACAGACTGGGCTTAAATTTTACAAAATACAGGGTGTTTTTTTAAAAACTTGCATCTTTATTTCTTTAAAAACCGCAATAGATAGAATTATGCAGTTTGCGGGAATCATCTATTGACGTAGGGGGCCCAATTGTTTTGAATTCAACGTTACATTCACATTCCCCCCCTTTCCCCCCTGCCCCCAACTTATTTTTTTTAAATAGCAAGGTACCCCTTGTGACATATCAAATGAAAGAGCATTAAAAAAGAAAATTTTTGATGAAAAAAAATTAAAAATCGGTTCATAAATTTGCGAGATATTTCCCCCCCCCCCTTCCCCGGAACTTGATTTTTTTTAATAGCAAAGTACCCCTTGTGACATATCAAATGAAAGAGCATGAAGAAAGATAATTTTTGGTGAAAAAAAATTTAAAATCGGCTAATGAATTTGTGAGATAATCCCCCCCTTTTTCCCCTACCCATAACTTGTTTTTTAATAGCAAGGTACCCGCCCTTGTGACATATCAAATGAAAAATAAATTTCACCAAAAATTTTCTTTTTTCATGCTCTTTCATTTGATATGTCACAAGGGGTACTTTGCTATTAAAAAAAAAATCAAGTTCCGGGGAAGGGGGGGGGGAAATATCTCGTAAATTTATGAACCGATTTTTAATTTTTTTTCATCAAACATTTTCTTTTTTTATGCTCTTTCATTTGATATGTCACAAGGGGTACCTTGCTATTTAAAAAAAATAAGTTGGGGGCAGGGGGGAATGTAAATGTAACGTTGAATTAAAAAAAATTGTGCCCCCTACGTCAATGGATGATTCCCGCCAACTGCATATTTCTATCTATTTCGGTTTTTACATAAATAAAGATGCAAGTTTTTAAAAAAATAGGCTACCCTGTATAGCTACTATACCAAGAATGGTAATACAGTAGGACTGACTAACTTATTGCCACTTCAATATTTGTAGAGACTAACATCTAACAATTTGTTCTAATAAAATTAATTTTAAATTTTCAATAGGAATATTATGTTTTAGTCTACCTGAGAAAACCACTAGTTAGCGACAACAAAATTTGAAGTTTTCATTTTGAAGGCATACTGACTATAAATAATCTATTTTCTTTGAATAATTACAAAGCAAAACGTTTTTCATTTTGTAAACGATTTCAGAAGCTAGGCCTCCATATGGCTTTCCACAATAATTAATAGAATTGTTTTATCTTACTTACTTACTTGAAATACAATTTGAAATACTTGAAATACTATCACATCAACATTCAGACTTGGGTCGGAGAACATGATGCTTTAATTGTTAGATGGTGTAGTACATATTTTTTACTAGTAGGCCTACTTAACAGAAACACCGGTTTATTTCTTCGAAGTGCTGGTTATTTGAGTTATTTTAATCACTTAACAACAGCTTTTATCAATAGATAGACAAATAAACAAGGAAATAGTACGGCTTTCTCATACCTAAAACTCGCTTCTCGCGTGTATATTTACACGAATCATTGTCTTATTCTTACATTTTTTTACAAATTTAAGTTCATATTCGTGAAAAAGTTTCACACAAAAACGAGAATTGTTTTAAGATGTCTAATTTGACCGAAGAATAGCAGGAAGCTATTGTTGCTTATGCGGCGGATCAAGTAGAATCTTAGAACACTGTATGTATTATTCATTTTTAATTGAGCTTTCGTAATTATTCTTGCATCCAGGCACATCACATCTATCTGGCATGCTGTAGTAACAAGTTCAATGTCATTACTAATGATTAAGGGTATTAGAAATGCGATTATGTACGTCGAGTACGCGACTCCTCCATTCACTGTAATGGTAAGACGACCGCGCATCAAGACACGGATGCAACGTTGCCACTTTTCGCTCGCCGCGGCCTTGTATTAGAGGTGGCTGTGGCGGAGCTTATCCTGGAGACTCCGTGCCATCAGTAATCATCTCCCACGACAACGGTAATCGTTCCCCGCGTTGCGGCAAAAGCCGTAGGCATAACTTGCAGTCTCCGCGACTTCGGGATCTGTTTCCCGCGACCGTGGCTAAAGCCGTACCTAGGCGTAACTTGCAGTCTCCGCGACTTCGGTATCCATCTTCCACAACCACAGCAAAAGCCGTGAGCGTAACTTGCAGTCTCTGTGATATTGGTACCGTATCCGTCTCTTGCGACCATGAGACAAAAGCCGTGTGCATAACTTGCAGTCCCCACAACATTGGTAATCGTCTCCCGTGACCGCGTAAATCGCGCTTGGTGTTATCTCCCCAGGCAGGAAACAAGTAGCCTACACGGGCGGACACTAGGTCGGATATCCCGAGGAGTTGAAAATAATGGATAACGAATGTTTTGACTTGACTTGATTTGCCGTGACCGCAAGATATCCTCTCAGGGGTGTTGCCCAGATTATGGAGGATGACTACCTATGTTGCCGTGACCACAAAATTTCCGCAAGTGTTGTCGCGATCGTGGAAGACGATTAGCTACCGTTGTTGCTGTGATCGCAAGATAACCTCGCGGGTGTTGCCGCTATCGCGAGAGACGATTACGATTCCACGTGTTGGGTGGATCAGTTTAGTTTTGTTTTCACGCCTAAGAAGTAGTTTTGTTTTTACGTTTCAGTTTTCTTTTTTTTCACTGGCACCTTAGGATAAATTTCTTTTAGTGAAACTTAGACTCTGTGTGACTTAGGCTAGGCCTACGTTAACCGTTGTTTGTTTCAGGTTCTCTTGTCTAACCCTGTAGGAAGCAGGGTGAGACTACTTAGTTTATTTACTTTTTTTACTGCATTCTAAGTTAGTAGTTTAGACGCACAGAGTCACGTCCAAATTACCCCCCACAAACTTCTCCAACTAGATTGGTGATTATTTTCGTTTTTATATGGAGACATTTTATATTAGTTGGAGCTCTGATAACCGAGACTATCAATATGTTTAGTTCAAGCTCGTTAAAGGTTAAACATTTGAAAAAATAATTTCCTAGTAGGGAAGCCTACAGGTGATAATTTATTTTCCACTGCTCCACATAGAAGTAATAATAAAATAATCCTGAAAAGAAAGTAGAATACGACTCAATACAATTTTAATTGACTGAACTTAGCACACTTGATTTTTTTAGCACTGCGGAGCCTACTTGAGTTTCAGCCTTCGAGATGCTACTGACTACTCAGCAATTATTGTAGATCACAATGAAATAATTGATTTTAAAGCTCCTGCATTTACAATAGAATATTTAGAAGAATGTTTAAGAGAGTCACAACTGCTGCAAATCTCTGACACACGGTTTAGGTAAGGATAAAGACAAGATCTGAATATTAAAGTTAACAAAATAGTCTTCCGGCTGCTCTAAATTTAGCAATTTATCGCAAAGAATTAGTGTAGTCTTAGTCTATTTAATTCTACAAGCCCAAATTTGACAGTAAAGTAAACCTATGAATAAAGAAAAAACCTTACATAACATCTTCATTGTGAAAGTAATAAAACCCATCTGATGATCTCAATGACTGTTTAATTTCAGTATTTATTAATTTTTTTGCAATTTAGGAGAAGTTTTGGTGTTGCAATAATATGGTTTTTAGGTATTCCTAGGTTTTTCATAGGTATCTTCCTTTGTAGTTAACAATCTTATTCGCTTTTCTAACAATACCATAATTGTCCACTGCGATCTTGGTGAGGGTGGTTGTCTTCTGTGGTCGAAAATATTCAAGATTATCTACCTCGATCGCAGCAACACCCACAATCATGTTCTTACTATGAAAACCAATAATACACCGTTAAAGAATGGACGCTCAGCCATAGGTTATTAATCAAAATCTTTCAGATACACACTTAATCCACAGACTTTTTCCTGGGCATCAAAGTGTGTGTAAAATTATTTTTTTCTCAGTTTCCTGATCAGCTGAACACACTGTTTGTTTGGTATTTCAGAATATTTTATTTAAATTTAAATACAGTTGACCAATTAATTCTCACGTTTGAAATAGATGAGTTCGGATTTGTGGGACTCTAGTGTACAAGTATGGCACACTATATATTGAAGGCATGAAACTGGCGAGTAAATCTTAAGTTTTCTAAATACTTTTGAATATTCTTTTATAAGTCAGTTAAATCCTATCTTATCAGAGTTATTATATTAATCCCTATTGTATTTAAACACATCACACTAAAATGTTTGATTGTTCTACTAAATGCAAGTAATTTAACTGTAATTATTTTTCAGACAAGCGACTACGAGCCATATAGCACGTGATGTTGACTGCATGAAAGTGGTTTTCTTCCGTCAATGTTCTTGGGATGCTGTATTGTCGGATGCTGATAAAAAGTGGTAAGATCCCTTTGGAATTTGTAGTTAGCCTATATTAAGTAAAACATTGTGTTTGGATTAGAATGTACAGGTTGACCAACAGGAACCAGACGTTTTTCAAACGGATAGTATATACATCAGAGCTATTGTTGCGAGGGGGGAGGGTTGTCCTTCATTGCTGTATATTATGCCATTTTGGTAGTTAGGGATTCCTGAATTTTTAAGATTTTTTGTATATGACCTATACATTCTTTTTTCAATTTTGAAATCTTGGCCATAGAGCATTGCAGCTGCTACTGTGGGGAACGAAGAGCTGTCACCGTCTCCTAGGTAATACTTGTATCGTAGGCCACGAGTCTCCTCCGATTTCTCAAACATATCTAACACTCCTCGGACTTCCATCCCTCCACTAAAACCAAAGTAGTTGGCAATACATTTTTCATCGTGAATGTTCTGTAATCTATCCTTGCACCTGCAGTACTTTGTCAAAACCCTACAGTCTATAACTTTACCAGTATCCCCACTAATCGCTGTCAAACCTCCGTTGAGGGACGAATGACCACAGCGCTGCCAACTCCCATCAAAATAGCTGTTATATGATTTTTTATTTTCAGCTGTATTCTCTTCTCTCTATTGCTGCCTCCCTCATGCTGTCCTTAAACAACTTATGCAGCTTTACACAACATGTTTTTGTAGTGTCTGAACTCTGGTGGCTGAGGCATGTTCATCATGGCACACACACACCGAGCAACTTGTTCCCCTTTTCCAATACATCAAAACGCATATGCCAATCTTGCTGAAATGGTTGTCAACACAATGGATATTTGATTCAAACAGAAAAATTAATGTGATTACTATATGAAAGTTATTTTATTGCATGTTTGATCCGTCAACGCTCCCTAAAAGTGAAAAATATTTTTGGGACATACATTTTCTAAATATGTAATAACTTTTTATACAACTTATCGGAAATGGCCTATTCATTATTTTTAACTGTGTTACCAGTAATAACTTGATAATGTTAATATAAAATCTCCAAATATGAATTTTTTGTATTTTTTGACACTTGACTCCCCTTGTCAAAGCACAGACTTTTTCAGGGGTAGGTAATAACATGGTTATCTTACAAAGCCAACATTACAAATTTCTTATGTCTCACCCATAATCGTGCCTTGGATTTAATTTTATCAAATTTCCCATATAGGGAATAAGCTATTAATGTAGAGATCATGGTAAGACCTGAACCCGGGACCGATTTACTTTTTTGTTTTGATGTCCACAGAGGCCAAAAACACTAGCTGTTCAAATTCATATATTAGATTCATATAACATAAAAATGATCCGATTTTGATGAAATTTGGTACAAACAAGTATACGTACGTTTATTCAAAAGATTTTGCGAACCAGCATGATCGGACTATGGGATCGGGGGAAATGAACGTTTTATGGGGTAAATAACGGTTTTCTTGTTTTTCACCCTAAAAAAATAAAATTTCCCAATTTCTCTATAAACAATTTTGAATAGCTTAAAAAACAAATAATTTTGTATATTGAAGTGTTTTTGTATGGTTATTGGTTACGGATAAAATGAAAAAATTATAAATTTAAAATTCCCATGTTATTCTTATATATTTTGATCAAACTGGGCAAATCTATTTATTTTATACTAAGCTATTAATGTTTTACTAAAAAACTCACTTTATTGTCCTCCCTGTAGCAGCAAACCTAGGTAGGCCTACTCATTAAACCTAATGCTATTTAAATAGATTTAATTGAAAATCAAATCATGCAAATGGAAATTCGCTTAGTCTGCAGGTTTGCTGCAGCGGGGGTATTTAGATTTAAAATTAAATAGTTTGATAAGCTTAGGAAAATGTGCCACGGGTAAAAAAACCAATAGTTCAGTTTAACCTAAATTTCATTTTTTCAACTAATTAACACAAAACTTTCAGGTTTGAAACGGAAAGTATAAACAAAACAATGGATGTTTTCAACCCACTAGTTTCCTCTACCTGTATTGGTAGTCCGACTTCCCCAGAGGAACGGTAAGTTGGCAAAACTTTTACTTGTCTTTATATTGGATATTTATTCACCAGCCCAATACAAGGGTTGTTCAGGAAGTAAGGAAGCGCCCAACAAATTACAGATCACCCTCACAACTGGTAGTATTTTACATTTTTGGTTCCTTTTAAAACTTGTGCTACTAGCACATGCCTTCTGGCATCATACGGAAATGTTTCTTACTTTCTGAACAGTTCTCATATTTATTCGGAAATGTTGTTGAATAGTGCACCAAGAGGCTATTATGCGTAACACAATTGAATGTAACTTCAGATCATAGCCCGTTATACTTTATGTGTAACAAACTGTCAGCGTAATGAAATAATACATTATTATTATAAAGCCAATTTCTTTTGTATGCATTTACATCAACCCTCCATATGGTATGTTTAAAGGTCTTAAATTTGGCCCATTTATTGCGCATTCACAGAGTTTTATTAAAATGTATCTGAGAATCAATAAGACACTCTAAAGTATATATAATTTCAAAGTATATATTATCTCAAAGTTTGATATGTTTGACATGTTATAGGTAGGTAGGCCTATGGATTTTGTTTGGAAAATCATGGACTTCAATGCTGGAAATAAAATATTAGGCCTTCACAAATGGTAGCAAAAGTTTATGTACAGTTAACATTTTTCAAAAATTATAAAAAAAAATGAAAAAGGCTTAGGTTTGCCCTCAATAAAATTGTATAATGGATAGACAAAAATATAATTATAATAGGGAGGTAAATAGGTTATGGCTGAAAAACACATTTAGGACATTTAGCCACAGCTAAGAATGAATGGCCTAACAGAAGCTAGGATTCTGAAGGATAATTCACATTAAAATCACTTACTTCACTGGGATGAAGTATATCACTTTCTTCTCCAGCATCATCAACAAGCCCAATACAAATAACAAATAAAATAAATGTTCTTATAAATCCACCACTTATATCACTACTGTTTATTTTTTGACTAAAAACAACAATAAAACACATCATAATATTAGGAGTAAATATACTTGAATTTATAATTTTGTTATATTTAACTGTCCCTTAAATCTTACAAAACTGTAATTGCTTGATATGGTTTCCTAATGCTAATATAATCCAAACCTCTTCAATTTATATTTTTCCTAGCAGCCCTTAACAATTTAGAAAATCATTGAGAGAATAAGTACTTGGCAACCACAGTTTTTAAGTTTTTGACTTTTATTGTTCCAGGAGTTTGTTTTGTTGTTTCGCTATGTTTTGCTCTCCATGAACTATCATAAAGAGCTATCCTGTGTTGGCTATTTAAGATTACTCTTGTGCCAAGTGTTGTAGTGATGATTTTAATTGTTTTATCAAGACTTTGTAAGTTTTATCAAACAATACCATAACCAAAGAGTGCTCATCACTGATGTTCATGTTTGACAATACCTGTCAAAAGTTTCATCTGGACAAAAATAGGGCGCAATAACGGATCGTTTATCAATCGCAGTGCTTTAAGAAACACAACAGTTCATTATAGAGACAGAGAATATTTTCGAGGATTAATTTGATCTATACTGTTTAGAACTTAGATTTTTATATAAATTTTACTTTAATTGCATTGCCTGAGAAATCACTGAATTTGTTTCAGAATTGAACCTCGAACTATACCGGAATCAAGCGAGGCTGAACAACCCTCTGCATCCAACAACCAAAGCCACAATTCCAAACAGGTTATGCTTTCTGATGACGATGATTCTGATTTAACAGAACCAGAAACAATGGAAGTTGATGAAACCCATGAAAAAGGCGAACATTTAAACAAAGATCTAACTTGTGAGGTGAACGGGCCAAATAGTCCAAAAGAAGATGAAGAGGTTGACGACTCAAATCGCCCAAATTGTTCAGGTTTTGTGTGTTTAGCTACATCACAGCAAAATGAATCTGGAAAGAACAAAAGATCCAAAGAAACAGCATCTACGTCAAACCAGCCTTCAAAAAAATGGTAAATACTTGGGTCTCACAATAAGTTATTAAGTTCCCTTACAAAAATTGTTGTTGTGGTAAAAAAATGTTCCTTAAAATGTCAATGGTGACCTAAAACAAAACTAGATGGATCCTATAACTAACTAGGCCTATACAAGTTTTTAAGACAATCTGTTGTGTGTTTTTTCCAGGGCGTTCTTAGACGAGTTTCATCCAACTAGTGAAAGTGATGATGAAACTTCCAGTTCTGCAGCAGCAGAAAATAAGAGGAAGAAGGAAGAGGAAGTGAAAAAGAAGAAGTTGGAGTGAGTATCAGTTATCTGAATCATGAAGCATTTTTGTGCCTAAAGAAATCTTTAGTTAGTTTTAACATGTTACCCAATCAACCGTTAAAACTCTGAATCATTGTGACTTTAGTTTCTAAATCTAAATTCTAAATCTTTAGTTAAATTTTGAATGCATTGTTAATCACAATTTATGAATAAATAGTATACTATGAAATGAGTAATTCATGCATTCAACTCCAATTAGTTTTGTGAATAATTAATTAAACTTTCAACTTAAATTTAAACCTTTTTATCCATTGTTTATCTTATCTTGGTCTGGAATCCCATCCAATCAGGTCAACTGCTGTAGACTGCGTGGCGACATCGCTGCCACTGTTGGTCCATGTGTATTGCTTTATTGGTTTGTTTTCCCCCGCCACAACTAGAGGTGGGTTTTATGGTGATGGCTTTTGTTTCCTGACCTTTATCAATGTGATAAAAGAAAATGACTGAAAATTCACAAGTTCCATTACCAAGTTTGAGTGACCACCCTGTTATAGTCTTAGGACTGTCTGTCCCTCTTCTGTTTATTCGTTAATTTTGTTGGCTTAGTACAGTACTTCATCAAATAAAAAATAATAATAAACTCTTCTTGTATGCCGATGACTCAACTCTACAGATTGCTGAACAACACTTTTTAACACTAAACCACTATTCTAGAAATCTTTTAAAAGTCACAATTGAGTTCCCTAAAAGAAAAAAAAACTTAAATGCCAGTAAAACAAACTGTTTGATTTTTAATTTGAGACTAGGGCTGGAATGCCCTTTTTGTAAAACCTTGAAGAATTGCAACAGTGAGTCACAACTAAGCCAAAAAGGTCTTGCTGCTATCTGAGAATTTATTAGAGGACCTTCACATGTCTAAGATAATAGCTGGCATTTTCTAAGAAACCCTATTTCAATCAATGTACTAAAAAAATTGAATACTATTATGAATAATAATTGATTACCGGTGTACTTAGTAAAGAAGTCAAAAGTCAAAATGTTTATTGTACGTAGATTCATTAAGAATTACAATTGGGTTTTATTAAATAATAATAATAATGTTTTTGAAGAATTTGTTCAATGTGTAAAATGGTCTTCCCATCAGTCATATCATCCACTCTTTTTTTCAGTTTGTCTTCAATCAAGTTTTTCATGGACTTTATAAGATACTTATTAAATTTACTCACGGCTAAATTAATTTATTAGTAGAGTAGAACTTTTTACAATATACCAATCAAAACATGCCATAAAACAATTTTTTATACTGTCAACATTTTCAATGTTTCTTACATTCTCTTTATTTTTCAGAACGTTTTTCGACTTTGATTGTAGTAAGGAAGACACACAAAAACCTACCAAAGATGCAAAACAGTAAGTACTGTTTTTTGTGAGCTTTTTAAACTATCAACCTAAATTGTTAAACCAGACAAGAATGTCAAAATGACCTGTACGATAGGGTGTGTAGCCTATTGTACTTATTTTTGGAGCTACCCTAGTATGTAATGTACTTAATGTTGCCATCATTTTGTTTGTTGTTCAAGCTATTTAGAAAAAATTAAATATTAGAAAAAAAATTAATCTTATTTGCTTCTTAAAATGAACATTGTCTTATTTAGCGCACTCTAGTTTGCAAACTGAAAACTAGGGGTGTGCGATGCATCGAAAATGCATCGAAATTTCGATTCGATTCGATTCGATGCATCGAATCGCGATTCGATTCAGTGGTGGTCAAAAAACGATTCGATTCACGAGGGAGTCAGTATCCATATACGAAAAACGCCTGCAGAAAGTCAATGCAATACCCGCAATACAGGAGCGCGTTGCTGTTGCGTTTCCTTTACGAAGGCGTTCTTATTTAATACATTCTTTGCATTAAATATAGCTTTAATTGTTTTATATTTTTTTGTTTTGACATTGCAAATGATTAGAGGTTTTGTTTTTTGTCTTGATGTAAGCAGTGTGTGAAATATTTTACTACTGTGAACCTAGCCAAAACAAGGTAGGTTACTCCAAAATCATTTTAAAAATAAGTCTGAAAAATTGTTACTTAATACTTAACTAGTAAGATCAATGTTATAGACTGATACATTTGGTATTTTTGTTAGGTGTCTGTCGGTCCCCGTCCCCGAATTTTTGTTGGGGCAAAAGAAAAAAAAGAATAATTTATTTCCAAAGAAACACTCTTATATTATTATATCTATTACAGAGGAATTAAAATGTTCAAATGAGAATTAAAAATTAAGTTGGCTCACGACCTTTAAGAATAAAGACACAACAGAGCAATTGCCGCACTGCCACTAGCCAGAGCCAGGTCTAGTCGTCTACTGATAAGAGTAACAAGACAAAAGCCGTGACGCAACACTAACAGTGCAATGAAAACAAAGTCAAAAGAATAGAAAGACTATTTATCCAGACATACTAGTATAATCATTTATTGTTCATTCAATACCTAATTAAAAATATATTTTAGTATTTTACATAATAAATTATAAACAAAAGAAATATCTGATATAGTGAACAGATCTGTATCTTGGTTAAATAGGGTTAAAAAAATATATTTCTAAGATCCAATACAATATTTACAACTCACAGATTACATTGAATTAATTTCTTTGGAAATAATCTCTAACAGTTTTGTGTTTTTGAATAAAGAAATTTATTTCTTTGTCTCTACTTCCTTGTTTCATCACTTGCATTTTGTCAGCAATTGAAGCAACTGGGTAGCAACCGGGTGGTGTAAGAGGGGAGGGGGAGGGTCTATGACCTTGAATTCACACATCGTTGCCCGGGCCTGGCTGGTGAGACTGATTCATTGTTTTTGTTGACATACTACTACCCTTCCTTAATAGAAAAAGGCCCTGCTGTTCCAAAAACATTGAGGGTAGTTTAAAAACATAGACCTGTGTTGCCAAGGGCACTAGAAGATAGCATTTAACTTTCTTGTCTCTTGATTTAGTATTATCAAAGATTACATATGCTAACGCAAAATAGATATTGCAGCCAAGCCATTTTTGTGATATCAATTTCTATGCGAAGCCTAGCGAATGTCTTCACAACCTAAGACTTCATTGCCGACACGACCAGCTGTTATTTACGTATTTTTTGTTGTTATTTATTGTTATGGTTAACCTTTATTTATGGTTGTTTGCTTTTGCTTATGTAAGTAACAGGAGGTTTGTTAGATGGATTAGCAAGAGTGAAGAAGTGTTAGTATTATGTGTAGTGAATTACAATTGTATTATGATGTGGATATTTTCATGAACAATACCAGGTATTAAGACGAGTGTAGCTGCCTATGTGATAAATGGCAAACACGGCAATCAAAAAACGGCAAGGCCTTCCCGACACTGCTTTACATTCACGTTTAGTGTGTGAACCGCATTTTGAACCTAACTGCTTTATAAATAATATGAGAAGTAAAAAGGAAGCTGTACCAACATGACAAACATGTAGTTATGTACTAACAAACTATAAATGTACACCAGTTGTCACTCAGCAGTCTGCACTCATTAAGTTACTGCCTCTACAGACGATCACCACCGTCTCGCGGCAGCCCCTTCATCACATAGCGATAAATTAACCAGTATTGCTAATGTCAATGTCTCATTATCTTTAGAGTCTGCCTTATGATAACAGTTATAATAGAGTTCCGAAATATATTATTAACTACCTTCATCACACTGTTATGCAATAATTTGTAATTTTTTGTCAATTGAAAATAGACGTACGTTGAACATCGTGGTTTAAGTGTTTATAAACGAAGACCACTAATAGGGAAATAGAGTATCCTAGCCTATATATTTATGGCGTTCAAATTTGGAGAGGGTGGTTAGGCAATTTCTGCTCCAAGGCGCTCCAATCCAAACCTGGCTACGCCAATACAATGCCTTAATGTTGATTCAGGAACTTGCCATGAATGGTTGTTGTAAAATGTAGTTACAGGCTTCCGGTACAAAGTATTCGACCTATTGTTAAATATAATGTTTAAAACAGGCCATACCAATAAATTGGGATGTCGGGTCACTCGGGTTAGTTCACTTTCGTGTGATTGCGAGAGTGTGACTGACTGAGACTGACCTCCAATTTCCAACCTAAATATCGTGTTTACGTGGTAAAGATAACCTCTTTAATTTATGTACAACTAATATTCCGCTGTTGTTAAAACTATGTGTTCTTAAATTTATTTTATATAGTCGTCAGTTGAAAGATTTGTTGTATAAAAAAAAATCCAAATCTAAAATCTATATTTTATATCTTATGTTATACATTTTTTCAAAGCTCTGTTGCAAACGGCACTTAAAAACACCAGATAATGTGACGAGATAATACTTAGTTTGAAAACAAATGCCGATCTTTGTAGATAAATGTTCTTCCTACAAACTATGTGTATATTTGCTATGTTTCAAAAGATCAAGTAGCCAGTGAATGGTTAGGTAGTAGTTGACTAACCATACATTCCTCATCGTGAGTTAGTAGTAAGATATTGCGTGAGTCTAGAAATCCGGAAGCAAACTTTGTGGGTCAAAATTCCGAAAACAGAAAAGTCGAACTCACAAATTGTCACTAATTATTAAAACTTGCAAGATTTATAAATTTCTAAATTGTTAAGAGTTCTCTAACGTTAAAATTCAATGCAGAAAAACTAATATAACATTGTAAGCTTATTATATCACTGTGAATGCAATTTTTGAAGATTTTTATTAATTCATGTTTATATCAGTAAACCTTTAGTATCCTTTAGCTCTTTGTTTCACGGTCACTTTAATTTTAAATTAAATAACTGCCATTTTTGTAAAAAGATAAAGTTAAGTATGGTACATTAATGATAGCTGTGCGCTTTCAACAAGAGATACGATGACGACGGGTCGGCGAGCGCGTTGCGTACAGAGTCAATGGTACAGAAAAGTTAATCCCGAGCACGCGAACATTACCGAACTCACCCGAACTTGAATGGTAATGCAGATTGAGACTTGACACAGCGCCTCTGTTGAGGGACCACCCAACTACGTGAAGGTGGCCCCATCCAAAAACGACTTGGCACAATTTTGCCGTAAGGTGCAATATCTATTTTGCGTTAGCATATGTAATCTTTGGTATTATTTTAATCTTCTATATATTATTTAAGAGTTACTTTTCGGGTACCTAATTAGTTGTGATATTGTTTAGCTTCATTTTATGGATTTTTAATTCTTTTCATTCATTAGCTATCAAAATCAGTTGTTTTAGGATTTTAATCTCTTGCAGTACCGGTAGGTCTATACTACTGTATGACATGATATGCATTTTTTAGTCCTTATTAATTATACCATAAACAATGTTTGTATGTTATTTACTGTTTTTGAGTTTTATAGGAAATTAGTTTACACAATATCTTTTCTTCAATGAGTTCTCCACTTGACATGTTGCTTCTAGCCTATTACTATTTTAGGCCCTATAAAAATAATGCCTATGTAAAGCTGTAGGCCTACTGATGCCAATAATAATTCTTTATTTATGATGATGTAACAAATAATGTAAGTGTGAGGTTATTATACTAAGGAGGTTAGGAGGCAGGGAATGAATGATACATGTTGCATGGTGGAAACATATTATTTTTATTTTCTTCTTGCTTGCAGTCCTGAAGCCGGTCCACAGGCCCTAAACTTGTGATATGTAAATTTATTTCTTAATGGTCTTTTTATATTAAGTTCCATTCAAATTTGTTGTAATTTAGCTACCGGTACCTATTTAGTTATTTAAACAGTTATTAAAATGAGAATAAATGTCTTGATAAAAAAAATATTTTCTTCTTTCTTGCAGTTGAGCCAATTCCAAGTAAAAATTATGAAATAGGCAAGTAAAGCAGCTCACTGGTATTTCCAGCAGTTATTCTAATACATATGATTGAAAATAAATATTTTTTCACCTAAAATTCATATGTAAGTATGAATAGGCCTAATACCACATCAACAAAAATTTGTATTACACAAATGTGATAAATTTTAATTATTGTTAATCCACTCAATTGGCAATTATGAATAGAAAAATACCGTATTGCTTCGAATCGAGTTGCATCGAATCGAAAATCTTTTGAATCGAATCGTTGCTTCGAATCGAAAATTTTTTGCTGCTTCGCACACCCCTACTGAAAACTATTTCAAATGTTTTTAGCACAATAAAATATAAGAAAGATGGGCCCTAATAAACTTAATCCTCTTTGAACTTTAACCCTTGTCCAGTTTATGAGCTTCAAACCCTCAGTCACTTTCCATACATTTAAGATGTTGTATTATTTTCTGAAATCGTCATTAACCCTTTGAGGTCGAATTTTTTCCACATTTTCCGGTGAATTTAGCTTGCCATTCAAGCAGTCAGGAAAATGGCACCCAGTGACCCATAATCGCCATTCGACCAAAAAAATTAACTTTTTAGATTTTTGAATTTTTTTTTTTTTTTTTTTTGGGTCCTTGTAGGTCGCCATTTTTGAGCAGTCGGCAAAATGGCGGGCGGCGACCTATACTCGCCATTCGACCGCAAAGGGTTAAGAAAAGGAATGAATCGTCTTTAAATTATATGGAAATGGCAACTAAAATGTTTAGCAAGAAAAATTTAAACTGACTTATCTATTTTGTGTACACTTCCCCACTACCAACAAAAGGAGGAGGTTCTCAATTTGTTTGTGGCGATGTTTTTTTTTTTCTATGTATGTTCACCAATTTCTCTGTGATTCTTTTACCGATCAGTGTGGTTCCACCACCAAAATAACCAGGAGAGTTTCTATTTGGTACCTTATATATTATGTTTAAGTATAATATTTGTTTCGGTGAAAAATTCTGAAAACCTTAAATATTCAACATTTATTTTGTTTACATTTATATTTATATGATCTTAAAGATGTCTCATAGTGTTTTTTTTCACAGCTCAAGATTACCTTATTCATACAATGAACAAGCAAACATCCTTAAGTACATCACTGTTAATTGTGAATACGCAAGACTAAAAGGACGGGAGTTGTGGATGATAATGGAGAGACGGAATGTAAGTGGAGAATATTGTATATACTTAAATTGATTTATTTTACTACTTTTTGAAATGTTTTGTCTAATTTACAACAATCTTTTGACATATATTTGCGGTTTACTCTAGAAATATACAAATGTTTAATAAATATTGAATGTCCAATGATTTTTACGCCTAATCACTAAAGTACAGTGCACTTCCGATTATCCGAGGTTGTTACAGGAGGTTGTTATATTTTAGTGATTTTCCCATGTACGGAATATAGGGAGTAAGCTACAGTATTACCGAAGGTCTCGTGATAAGGCCTGGCCCCGGAACTGATTTACTTTTTCTTTTTGCAGTCCCCAGAAGGCCAAAAACACCATCCGTTCAAATTCATATATATGATTAATTAATCATATAAATTATAGCATAGAAAAGGATTAAACTACTTTTGTATCATTAATAAGTGTGTTTTGTACTAGGTAGAGAGGGGTTGAAGCAGACTTGTAGAGTGAAAGATGTTTCTTTACAATTGCCACTTTTTTTGTTCTAGGACGCTAGGCACGAGCCTAGGATTGTTTTTCACATTACTTCAGGCTAAACCTAGGGGTTTTGGCATTATCACTTAGATAAAATCCATTGGTGATTTAGCGGGATTTGAACCCGGGACCTCTTGGACTGAAATCCAGCATTCTAACCACTAGACCAGCTCCCTCATTAGGAATGTTTAAATCATAAAGTATTGTTACAAAACCAAACGGATATTAACGTACTCTATTCTTGACCATCAGGAGCGAATTTTAGAAAGAGATTTTCAGTTAAAACTCTATTTTCAGTTGTTAGAAATTGTATGTTCTTGACCACCACTAAAGTTTATCAGTTCAGTTTGGATGATACCGTATCGACTCACCCCTTGCTTAGTTTGATATATTCCACGAACAGGCCCAAGGTCTATGTAAAAGGAGCTATGAACCTCTTTTAAATAATGAGAAATCTTGAACATTAACATTATTTAAGAAATGCTTCTAAATGTACAATCAATTTAGAATATTAAATATGTAGCAGTTGAATATTACAAACATCACGGTCACGGTAATATTATTAACAATTGAGATGGGGGCCACCCAGGTAGCACAATTTTTATTTCAGCTGCTGTTTTTCAATACGGACGAAATGAGAGCATTCTATTGGCTGTCATGGCGTAACGTCACTCTCTTCTCTTTTGTTGCTTTGTTTCAGACTAAGATCAGCTGTTTCATCAGCCAGGACCAATTTATTAAAAGTCCAATGATCAAGTACAGCTGGTTCCAGTTTCGAACCTACAAAAAGCTACACACTGTCCTCAATAGTCCATTGCCCAGTTAATGTTATTGTACCTTTAGTATATATTTTATTTTCAGATTTGCCCTAATAGGACATGGCAGAGCATGAAGGAACATTTTGTCAAGAAAATTATTACGAATATCGAAGCATTTGACTTCTTAACAGAAAGTGATAAACTTAAATTGAAGACCTCTTTTTACTGAAGCATTACCATCTTTTAAAACAACAAAATAGTGTGTATATTGTCATTTATTAAACAAATTATTAAAATTATATCTCTTTTATTTCATGTGTTAAAACAATAAAGAATTTTCCTTAAACCTCTGATTTCATTTTACCTTGCCTGATTTCCTTTGTTTCTACTGTATTGTGGTTTCAACTATTATCTGATGGTGGGTAGTAGGATACTACAGTATACAGAAACTGAACAGAAATGGTATAGATAGTAAACAAACAAATGAGTCACTGGCTCCCGAGTAAACATGTTTGCATTATTTATTTAAATGGAAATCTCAAAAAACATTGGAACCGTCAAAAACATCCAAACCAGATACTACCAGCAATAAGATTCTGGCCATATAAAACATTAAATTTGAGAACTAGTTCCATATGCAACGCGGTCAGGCAGACGTTTTGTCCTTCAGGCTCTTGAAACCGGAAGCTGCTCACTACAAAATTTAGGATCATAGACGGAATCAGGTAATTTTATACCATTTTAATCGCTGTGTATATTTAACGACGCATTTCAACCACTTGTTCTAATAAACGTAGGTTTACACATTTGTACCAAAGCTGGGGACAGCAAAACGAAACAAATTGGTCCCGGGGTCCAATTCTCATCTTGAGATCTAAACAGGAAATTCGCTAGCTTACCTGGTAGATAGAGTCCAGATTAGCCTTGATTACACATAAAAACACATGACACAACACAGAAAAACTTAATATTTCGTCCCAGTTAGGGACTTCATCAGAAGGGAGAAGAGAGAAGAAAGAAAACTGGCAGTTACAGTTCAAATTCAAAAGTTCCACAATAGTGTTTGCCAACTGTTGTTTAAAATTAAATGAAAATCCTGTTGTTATGTACATCTATACACATACACTCCTATATATACACATGGTAGGTTGATTATTAAAAAAATGAAGCTAGCTGAGGAAAGGGTTGAGTGAATTATCTGATGTTAAGGTTAGGAGGGTTTCTAGAATCAGTGATGTATTGGTAGGCTAGTTCCCCACCTTCTGAGTAGGGAGCTGTTACATTGGTCTTTGGGGAGGGATTTGATGGATGAATTTGAACTGTAACTGCCAGTTTTCTTTCTTCTCCCTTCTGATGAAGTCCCTAACTGGGACGAAATATTAAGTTGTTCTGTGTTGTTTTATGTGTAATCAAGGCTAATCTGGACTCTATCCCCTATCCTTGTACATAATAATCCTAATCAGCCAATTGGCCTTTCCTTAACTCCTAAAACAGGAAATTCGTGAATACTAATCTAAAATTAACAAAGTTGGTGCTTAGCTCTAGAAAGTGTGTACTCAGTTATAATGAACCAATGGTTATGGCATTTGTGACTCAAGTGGTTAGAGAGTTAACTCAGTGGATGATCGCTCATAGTCACAAAGGTGTAACATCCCTGTCTTTTTATGCCTTATCAGGAGTTCCCCAGGGCTCGCATCTGGGTCCCTTGCTTTTCTGTCTGTTCATCAAGGACAACCTGATAACTGTTGAATATTTACTTTTCACTAATGTTGTCTAATTCTTCTGTTGAACCCACACTCTCAATCAGAGGAATCACTTCGGGCAGGGTCAGTGGAGCCCTGTGCAAACTCAATAGCAGCGCCACCCTTTTATCCAGTACGGGCGGGCGGTGGTTGTAGTGCGCCCCTGGGTATATGCCCAGACTGCCCGTTTATAAAAGCGGGCCTAATCACTCGACAATATTAGCAACTGGTGTAAAAATAACTCAATGGAACTTACGTTTTGTCAAGTGATAATTTTTAAACGGGACTTCCGAATAAATGGAGAAAGTTTGAAGAGGATAGAAATGGTGAAGGATTTGGGAGTGAATGGTTGGTTAGAATGCCAGGACCGAGAATAGGATATACTTATCGTAATGCCCCAGTCACTAATCTTGAGGCTCAATATCAACTTAAATCTCTCCACACGAGACGTACTATTCAAGACTGCTGTTGTTCAAGCTGGAAAATAATATCCTGGACTGTCCGATACCCTGCAGTACTTGATACTTGTGTCCTTAATCCTTGACCGACAATGTCGGATAGACTGCGTCAGAGG